ATCTCTTGTAATTTTTGAGACAATTAAAAGTTTAAAATGTGAGATAAAAAAAGTAAACACCAAAACTCCCTATAGTAGGAGCTAATTATACTCCAATAAGAATAACTCCATGTGTATTTAAAGGAAAATACTTGTTGCTTCCTTATGTTTTTGTTGTTGTTGCTGTTGTTATTAACTTACTATCAAGGACTAAGCAAATATAAATCTATAATTGTTTCTACAAAATCTATGATAAATGTTTATTAATGAGAAGTCCCAAATATAATACAGAAATAAGTAACATTGTACATTTCTCATATCATACATGTAAAGACAAAGGACCATATATGAGAATTTTGTTAGATGTTTTTAATTTCCCTAATCCTGCTCAATTGTTATTATTATGTATTGTCAAGTCAGAATTGACTCATTGCAGACACTGCAGTGATTTTTCAGAGGCTATAATTTACAAAGGAGGAGAATGTCCATTTTTTTCCTGTAGAGAAACTGGTAGACTCAAACTGCTTGGCTTTGGGTTGGCATTGCAACTCATTACCACTAAGCCACCAGTTACCAGTGCTTCCTAATGGGTTCATTATCAAAACAGCTTTCCTAACCCATTGCATTGAATTTTACCACATGACTGGGCAAGACTATGCTAATGATGTAAATGAGAAGAATAGAATCATCTGAGTGGAAATCACAGAAGTATAGTGTGTAGACTACTAATTAGGGGTGTAGTCAGTCCTGCCATCCCACTAGGCTTAAACTGAGCAAGTTTAGAGGCAAAAAATGAGAATCTCAAAGCCAGAAAAACAGAAGAAGCAAGAATACAATCAAAACACACACACACGCACACACACGTCATTCATGGCTAAAGATTTCTGTGTGAGACAGACCACAGACAGACCACAGATTGAGGCAGACCAAGAAAACAGCACTGTAGTAGAAGCAGAAACCCAGAGAGCAAGAGGACACAGAGCTGATTTGTGACTCCCACCCCACAGACAGCCAGGGTCAGGGTCCTTTGCACTAGAGAACTTGAGAGGAGATGCCTTCATTGGCAGGACTAACTTAGAGGAACTTGTAACACCAACCTAAAGCTCTGAGACTGAAGGTTAAAAACACCTTCAGCTTATTTGAGCAGCTTTCCTGGAGGATTGCATTGCTTCCAACCTGAATCACAACTTGTAACCTCCCTAAAAAAGATGCTATAAAAGTGAATATAGTCAGCGAATTGTGTGTGGCCTTTGCCACTTAGTACCAGAGCAGTGAGAGCCCTAGGATGGATGGTTACTGATAGAATTGTAGAAGTAGGGATGGGGACATTACGGGACTCTCTGGCTTCATAGGAATTGGTTTTGTGCTGCGGATATTGTTGATGGGAACTGTTTCCTCTTGCGGGGTTAGTTGGTCTGACTGTGTCACCTTCATTCTGGTTACACTCTTTTTAATGATGTGTAATACTACCTTTATCTTCTTCCTTCTGATGCATATGTCATATGCTTTTGCCTTTTACATCTTTACTGAATGATCTTTTATTCAGCCTAACTGACACTCTTACTTGATGAAATTTCACTTTAATAAAAATAAAGGACATTATACGATATTTATCGATAACTACTGCAGACCTTGCTTGAAATAATTCTCAGAAATTACAAAGTGTTCTTTTTATTTAATTAGAGAAAAACTCCTAGAAATATAATTTACATAAATTACATTTTACAGAATAAAGAAAGGATGTCATTTTTCTATCAAGAAGCAATTAATGGACTTAATAAAAATCTTATTTCTCAACATAATTATATTTTCATTATTTAACTATTGCTTTATGGAAAAATTGGGCATATATCTTTTGGTTCCTTGTTTGATCTGCACTTATATAATCTCAAAACAAGAACTTTGTTGTTTACAAAATATTGAGTCTTAAGGTAGGTATGACAGATTCTATAGCATTTCACTTTCACATTATGTCTTCAATGTTTTTTTGTTCGTAAAGTTATAATTCAGGAGTGTAGAAAAATCAGGTTTGCACACAAAAGGAAAGTGTTGCTCATCAAAAGTTATGTAAATGAAAAGTGATTTGCCTGTAAAATCATTAATACTTATGACAATGTAAAAACCATTAGTTCATCAGGAGTTGCCCTGTTAATCCCTAAGGCGTTGCCTCACTGCCAGTTCAGATCCACTAGCCACTTCATGGCACAAAGACACGAGCCATCTCCTCTCATGCCTTTTACAGGCTCTGAGAAACCCCTGGAGAGTCAGCTAAGAGTTGGTTCCTACTGGAGGGCAGTGAGTAGAAGAAAATACAAACAATACGCACAAAATAAGAGCAGCATTGCTGTTATTTCTTTTAAATCAAAGAATAGAGTAACATACCTTAAAATATTTTACACTATAATGGACAAATTAATTTTACGTAGACTAAGAACCTCTAACATTTGAAAATTCATGTTATGCACTATCATAATCAACGTCTGTTATATTTCCCCTCGCTCTTCTACACACAGTTCGTTATTTGTCTCTGGTGTTTGCATCAAATTTTGACTGAGAGCAAGCAAGACATTTTTCTAGGATTTTTTCTCTAATTAAATAAAAAGAACACTTTTTAATTTCTGAGAATTATTTCAAGCAAGGTTTGCAGTGGTTATCGATAAATATCGTATAATGTCCTTTATTTTTATTAAAGTGAAATTTCATCAAGTAAGAGTGTCATTTTCTCAATTTCACTTAATACCACTAGGAGGGGTCTCCTGGGTCCTTGATGTCCTCTACTTTGACAGGAATACTCTTTACTCTTTGGGCACCAAGAGGCATTTACATAAAATAAGGTAACATTTCACAATGTTACACCACCCTCAGGAATAATCTTATCATATGTTCTTATTCAGGTTTAGGTCCAGGAAGTAGCCAGAGGGAACTGAGCGTCTATATAGTGGTTCACAGATGAAAAAAATTGAAAATTTAAGTAATGTACCTTGAGTATTCAATCTATATTCAGAAGCATAGTTATCAGTTACTAATTAAAAAAATCTATTTCTTAGGATTTTTTTTATAAAGAGAGCTTCATTTGATGAATTAATTCTACTTTGTCATAAAATACAGAGAAAGAAGCTTATCTTAGATGATGTCAAGTTGAATGTGACTTCTTTATAATGTCTAGTTTAACATTTGACTTGGATAGTAATTCAATATAATAAAAACTTTGATTTGGAGTAACTTGGATGATGTGATAGATGTATGTATAAAATTGTATAACTATGATCTATTGTAAAACTATGCTCTAGTATTCTCTAATTCTCTGAGTAGGCTGAACGTGTCCAGGAAAGACTGTAACTATAACAACATTAGAGTTTGTCCTAAAATTGAGACAAAGCTAATCAGGGGCTCCTAGGGGAGAAAGGATCTTCAAGGACCCATTTAGACAGTTGCTTCTAGAAAAAAAGTCATTCTTCACTCAAAGACTTGTCAATCTTATTTTTAAAGATTGATTAGATTGCTGATTTTTTTCCCCCTCTTTCTATCCTTGGAGAAAATGAAAAATAACAGGTTCTCTCTCACTTTAGACTAACCATTCATATACTTCATGACAGTTAGGTCTCCCCGGAGCCTTCACTTCTCCAGGACAAATTATGCTAACTCCTTCACTCTGTCCTCACAGGCCCTATTTTTCAGCCATTAAATCATCTTATTGTTCTTTCCTGTAACTTCTCCAGTTGCTTCACAATTCTATTAAAAATCTAAAGTCTCAATTTTTATATCTTTGCATATCATAGATGGGTTTCAACTACAGAAAACTATGTCTACTCTCTAACCAGAGGCATGTCTACGTTAACAGGGAAGAGATCAGTTATATTAGGAGAAAAGGTGGTGATAAGAAAGCACAAAAACTACATGGACAAATGAATACCCAGCTCAGTGTATTTATACGGCCAAAAATAGTAAGAAAGTTTGCCTGTAAAAAATGTTATAAGAGATCTTCACAAGTCCTTTGGGAAGATACTAAGACACCAAAAAATATGATAAAAACAGAATTATTTCTGTTCTATCATTAACCAAAGATCTTGCTACTTCTTTGGAAACCAAAGTAAGTGAACTAACATAACCACAAATTCAGAACACAACATATCAGAGGAAGAAATGAGCCTTGCAAAATCCAGAAAGGGGTGAGTGACTCAGCATTAGATTGATCTTAGTCTAATTAAAACTTAAAACCACATTTTCAAGTAGATTTGAATGCCAAGAATGAGCATTTGTGGAGTGTGTCTACTGAAGTTTATTTCTCCCCTCTGTTTTTATGGTAACTATAAAGTGTATGCTCTTGTCTATGCTTGAATGCTGTCCCAGGTTCATGCCTTGCACTTGTCTTCTCTGCAACATTGCCTAGATTTGGAAAATGGAGAGACTATAGTGATTTCAAACTCTCCTTTGTGTGATACTTTGAAAAATAACTCATCACCTTATAAACAAAGTTCTTCCTTATAGCAATGACTGTTTTACTGAAATAAAAACCTTGAACAAAGGCCTTAAACTTTCTAATCTTTTTAACTTGAGTTTAAGGGAATTCAGTACTGATTTTTTTACTTCTTCAATGACTTAACTTTAAATGTATATTCTTAGCTGTTCCCAAATGAAAATACTTGATATTCTCTCTATTCTCTACTCCAGGTTATGCACTGTGAAACAAAATCAACTGCTTCATAACCTATGTGAGAGTATAAATGCATTCCCTACAAAAAATTATTGTCTTATTCTTTCTACTGTCTTCCTTATAAATCAATAATTAGTAATAGAGATCACAGCCAAGGCAGCTCAGAAGCGATTTAATTCCCCTGGTAGAAAGAATCACAGTTGACTCATTGCTGGTTTATTTTCATGTTAAGATGAGAGAAAATATAACTCAATGGGGCCCATATTCAAAAGCCACGGGCAGCTCTTCAAGGGTTTTTGCATTGAATGGTGATACATGTGAAGTTCGCACTAACCCCTCTGTGAAAGCTAATGCAATATGGTCTTACCATTTTTGCAGACAGGACAACATTGCTCTGGTTCATAGACTGGGTTGACACACTCAGGAACTGCGCAGTCAGCGACAACACAGTGAACTTCATTGCTGGGCTCACAGCGACACCATTCACATGGAGAGGGCTAGGAACAAATCTGAAATTAGCCCCTTTTCTCCTGCAACTTAATGACTGTACATTCAATACGCTGTTAGAAGACAAAACATCAGTGTTTGTATTGTACTAGATTAACTCCATTTACCACGTACATGACCAAGCTCCCCCAATGGAAGGCGACCTAAACAAGCATCCAAGCCAGCATGGGACACCATGTGTATCTCAGGCAACTAAAGTACTCGGGGATGACATTTCCCGAGCTTTTAATTACCCTTGATAATTCCATAGAAGTATTTGGATGCTAACATTTTCTTTCCCGGTTTGCTTTCCACATGTTCGCAGAGTGCTATGATGCCATTTTTTTTTTTTTTTTTTTTTTGGAAAGCAAGAATGATAATGGAATATATGAGTTTTTTCCTTTTGTCATTTTACTTCCTAAGAAAGAATAGGATTACTGGGAAACAAGAAAATGGTAAGCTGACAACCTTACCCTTTGAATGAACTCTTTTTTCAAGCCAACTTAGACTCAAAGTGGCATTTTTTCAATGTGAATTGTAAAGGAGATTGCTTTGGGATCGGAACATTTAGGAATTGCCTCTTGAAAGATTTAGTGAATGTCTTTCATCTTGCCTGCTTGCTTTTATGAATGAACTAAAATCAATTGACTTTTAAAAGCCAGTCTTTTAAGAGTGGCTAGAAATGGAATTGAAAAGTGGTTAATTAAAAGGCAAGAAATCTCCACCAAAACTAAATGCAAGAATCAATTTTTGTCTTCATGGTACTTACCGATCAAGAGAACGAGATGGGGATTTTGTTACCTTTCTAGAAACTTCTTAAATCATAAATAATCTAAATCTCTGATCTCTTTACGAATCTATTATCTTTTATAAATTCTAGCTCCCCTTTATAAAGGTTTTGTCATTCTGCAATGACTATTTGGAAATCTCAGAAGTTACACAATTCTCATACTCATCATAATAAGCCGCTTGTTCTAGGGAAATTCTGCTTCTAATCCTGTGTCATAGCACTTCCTTTCTAAACGTGTTGATCATGCCCTCTTCTTTCATCAAAATGGCTATTGTCAATATTTCCAGCTCTTGTTAAATCCTGGCTCTGGAAATTGGAGTGATATTAATGCCCTTGACTTAAATCATCTGTGAGAATGAAATTCTTCTAATTCATTTCATCTTCATTTTAAGCTATAAGAATGATAGCCTAGCATTCAATTCATTACTTTACTTTGAAATATAGCAGGGACCAGAAGATTAGGTATAGCACCTACAGGATAAGTTTTCCAATTTCATAGCTTCACCTGTAAGCTCATAGAAAGATACAGGTATACTCTTTATCAAGTGGTAAATTAAGTTAGAACTGTTTGGAAGAATTTGTTGCAGCCTCTCAGTGACCGAGATTTTTAAGAAGCACTCATTTGCTGAATAATCTGAGTTAATTATGGAAAATGTGTGATGCCACAGCACATTATGTAATGGAAATCTCTTCAACTGAGGAAAACTTGCTACTGTACTGATTCACTTTTTGTAGGGTCAAGTGAAAGGTATTATATTCCTAACCAATATTGTCAGAGGCACCTCATTCCCTTGTTTAACTACAGAGGAGTTACACCAGCAAGCCTGCAGCACAGTGGGACTTGGACTGTATTTATCATCAATATAAGAGAAAGAGTAAGCTTCTTGTATAATCCCTTCCCATCTGCTGCATTTCCAGAGATTTGCTTGTTTGTTCTTTCTGGTTTACATCTTGCAGATGGAAGGATTAATTTTTGCAACAGGAATAGACTACTTCTGAGATTAAAAATCCCAAAGAATTCCTAATTTCTCCATGCAAAAATGTTATCTTCAAAGGAACCATAGTCTTTTGAGGAAAATGTATTGTGTTCTTAGATTCCTCCCACAGACATCAATCTTTAACATCAATCTTGTCTAGTCAATGTTTTGGGACATTATTAGCTAATACACACTGTGTTGAGAATTTTACTTATATTAACTTACTTATTTCTTGGAATAACCCTTATAAAGGAAGGGGTGATATTCTCCTTGCCCCCATGCCCCTCAACTCACAAGTTGAGCTGTATTAAGGAGCTTGCATAGGTCTTACAGGTTGTAAGTAGCAGAGGCAGAGTTTGAATTCAAGGGTGTAACCACTAGGCAGCACTGCCACTTTATAGTAAGAATCATCATTCTCTGTACTTTATTCTGAGTAGTTTATTTAACAAAGCTTTGTATACTTACTTGCCTATGCACAAAGCATCCTCAGTGATAACAACTGAATAACCAATTTGTAGAAAAAATATTTCCTACTAAAAATTTCAATTACGAGGTATTTTGCATAAGAAAGAGATCTCAATAGGGGGCCTTTGAGTTCTTTAACCTTCACATATGAGTTGGTAGAAACTCACAGAGGACTGGAGTTAGGTCAAAATGAGAATTGGGTTCTTAAATCTGTAGCGTTGTCAAGCCTTGGAGCCTGGCATCCAGACTTGCAAGTATTTGAAAAAAGTATGAACATATGATAGCCAGTAAAAAACTTAGTATCTGTCCAAAATCCAAAGTATTTAAGTTTGCCTGTGGATCTTGAGACACACTATAGAGAAGAGCAAGATATAAAGGCTATGATACAGCAATCTGGTAAAAACATACTGTTATGGGAAAGTCTGCTGTTAAAGACCTCTCCAAAGTACTGAATAACAATTGGTGTTACTCTGGAGACTAAGGTGCACCTGATACAGGCCATGGTCTTTGCAATCACTTGCTATGTGTCAGAGAGCTGGATAATGGCTAGGGAGGATAGAAGAAGAATTGATGCCTTTGACCTGTGGTGTTGGGAAAGAATATTGAATATACCATGGAAGGCTAAGAAAATGAATAGGTTCATTCTAGAGAAGGTTAAGCCAGGCTGCTCCTTGAAGGCAAGGATTCTGAAGCTTCATCTGACATACTTTGGGCATGTTGCAAGGAGGGACCAATCCTTAGAGATGGATGTCATGCTTGGGAGGTTGGAGGGACAGTGCAGGAGAGGAACACCCTCTATGAAGTGAATTGATTCAGTGACTTGGGTAATCAGGGTAGGTGTGTCAGAGACAATGAGATTGGCACAGGATAGAACAGGGTTTAGGGCTGTTGTACACAGGGTCGCTATGAGTCACAGGAGACTCAATGGCATATAACAACAACAACAACAACAACAACAACACATCTATTATAACAACAACAACACATATATTTAGGTTTCTGGAAAGAATGTTGAATCACAGAAGCCTATAGAAGAAAATAAAAAAGCTCTAGTCATTGATGGCTCCTATCTTTGCTCTAGACCTGGATTTAATCAGACCACATTCTCTTCCTTCCTACCCAGAGGCTCTAGTCAGAAGCTTGTCACTTTTTATTAATTTTTCATGTATTTTGTCTCTACTTAGGTTACATTTTCTCATCTCAATTCTCCATCTTCTCATTTTAAATCATTCAATAAAATATAGCCCATTTGACCTCACGATAAAGCCACTCAATCTCTTATCAGGCTTGCCAAACTCTCTCTGTTAAGAATTCTAAGGGTCCTGTTAGCCCTGTCTTCACTTGCCCCATTTGATTTTCTCTGTTGACTCTGCCTTCCCTGTGTTTCTGAAAAGGTATCGTTCATACGCAGAGAAGTCCCTTAGTGTGAGAAGAGAAATCCTTTGACATTAAATCCAGATTTTAAAAATCTCTGAAAGCTTTGGTTCTTTGAATAAAGTTTTACATCTTAAGGTGGTTACAGTTTTCATTTTATCAGCCTCTTGAATGTAAAAACTATAGATTAAATCTGAAAAAGTTCTCATAAAGCTAAAGTTAAAATATATATATACCTGTCCTTAGAGGACCTGGAGAATAGTATGATGAGCATTTAAGAAGAAAAAAGAAAAGTTGTTCTTGCTAGTCTTTACAGGGGAGCATGCTAAATTACAACTAATGCATGGCTTTGTCAGCAAGAGATTGGGTAGATGATAAAATGACATCATCCATAAATTCTATGCACAAGAAATAGTTTTTCCAAGAATTTTCACAGAATAGTTTTTCATCAAAGCTTGAAAAGAAACTAATATTCACTACATGCATTTCAGTATGAAATTAGAATCAGAGGTCAATATTTTTCAATTTGTATGTTACATTGTCTGAGTATTATATGTCCGTTATAACGGTAATAAACCATTAGCGATCATTCTGAATATCTAATTTGAAGTACTGTGACCTAGTGGTGAGAAGCTAAGCTACGATTTCAAAGGCACAAGTTCTAATCCACCAGCTGCTTTGCAAGGAAAGATGGGCAGTCACCTCCTGTGCATTCAGTGCCTCTGAAAACCGACCAGCGGATCAGCTATTAGTCAGTTCCAACTCAACAGCACACAACAAACAACTACATTAAGATACGGTGCACTTTCTAATTCGAGGCATCAGAAAATATATTCTTTACGTGGCAGATGCTTTCTCAGTTACCTCTAGATTACTAAGGGATTTTCTGCTAGGGATAGTTATTTATATGAAATTATCAATACAGCACAAAGGCACTATTTCATAAACACTTGTCTGGGTGCCTCAATCTAAACATTCCTCTTTATTAAAAAAGAAACATGAAGACATACATCTGCTTAAAAGTGGTGGCTAACCTGAAGACTTTGAAATAATAATTCCAAAATCATTGTGACTTTTAGATCACTCTTGGAGAATTAGAGGTGAGGTCAGAGAATCATAGAAGTTATAGAACATTCCATTTATTCATTTTTAAATAGAAAAAGTGGCTGGAAAACAAAAGAATTTCAGTTACTAGAGTAACTCCAGAATTGTTATCAATCCTGTCTTCGTAAGAATTTACAAACAGATGTGGTCATCACTAAGAGTCAAAAGAGCTATTAGAACATATTATTGTACTACATTTCCTATGTTCATGGAAAACACATTTTATTTTGTTGTTGAATGCGCTTATTTATTCAGATCTGAGGAAATTCTAGACATTTGGTTTATAGAATAATAATTGTAC